ACTATTAAAAACGATTAACGTCTTACTAAAATAAATTCAAACTAACTTCACAGAGATCCCACTGACTATTTGCTTCAGACTAATTAATAAAACATATTCACAGCTGACAATTTAACCAAGTAAAATAAATGTAACAGGTGAAAAAAGTGTTACAAACAACACGCTTTTCTTTAGCTTACCTTCTTCTTCTATGCTTTGAATTTACGTGACAACCCCCGCTCGTCTTGTGCTGGCTCTCACTGGATTTGAGCTGAACATCTGGCCAATCAGCGTTCACGGGCCGTGAATACATGTACACACCAGCGACTAGGCATGGGCTGAATACCGGTTTCACGGTATACCACGGTATAAAAAATTCACGGTGTCAAAACCACTAAAATTTTCCGTCATACCGTGCCTACGGTTTAAAAGGTTTTTTTGTTTGTTTGTTTTGGTTTGGTTTTTTATGTCTCGTCAGAGAGAAAGAGGTGAAATCCTTCAGCTCGTGTTCGGACTTTGACCCCGCCCTCCGCGCACCCCGTAGCTCTTCAAGTAGCACTCAGCTGCGGCCAGTTTTGCAGATTGCAAGATGGCAGAAGGAGGCGAGGATCTCCCAGAACTTTCCCCCCTGTCTAAACGAATTAAATCAGCTATATGGGGATACTTTGGCTACCGTAAAAAAACAGACGGCAACGGTTTGGAGGAAGAAGGTAATCCTACATGCAAAACATGCTTGCGGAGAGTGGCAGCCAAAGGAGGCAACACGTCGAACATGATAGCGCACCTACGAGAGCACCACCCGTCACTGTTTGCTACATACAAGGTAAAGTTATGCTAAGCTATCTTGAAGTGTTGTGGAGTTGATGAATTGTGTATTTAGTTAGCTTTAAGTGAAAGGCAAAAGAACCGAGTCCCTTCGTAGCTTCGTCAAGCAGCTCTTTAACTGAACGCGCATTTCTTATAAACATTAAAGGGGAATGAGTTTTCTGCATTACGTTTGATCAAAAATACGACGGAATATTATGTCCAAAGTCCAGACTTTTTTTTTCTAAATTACTAGAGTTGAAGTAAAAAATTACAGTAAATTTGACTAAAGTTTTTATATTACGTGAACTCAGTCCCACACACACACACACACACACACACACACA